GGGGGGGGGGGGGGGAAAGCAGCAGCCTAGATCATATTCTGCTTATACTTATGTATAGTTTCACGTGGCATATCATGCCAGAGATTCTATCTATTTCATAGTATCTGAATTACAAATATACAATATTGTGCTTGTCCATCCAATATTTTAGTACATACAACTCTGTATGAAGTTTTTAACATACCTTTAATCCTTGCCACGGCAGGCTGGTTCTGTTAAAGTACATCAATACATATCCTAATGACTCCATATCATCACGACGACTGAGGAAAAAAGTTTTATGTGCTTATTCATAAATTGAATAGCGTCATTTCTCAGGCCTCAAGAGATTATGAACATGAACTGTCAGTAAAATGTGCAATATACTGATATACAACAGTAATAAATAAGATTTACCAAACTTATTTGGAAAACTATAATTATGCATTTGTTATTTCTTGTTTTCCTTAGAGATGATATAGCAATACCTTTCAAATTTTAGCAAACTGATTAACTATTACAGAAAACCGCATACAAGTTTTCCTGACATATCCAAGTTTTTATTTTGCTATTTTTCTCCTTATCAAATGTTAAATTCCTAATTTTATTTTATTTTAGGATGAAGTATTGAGAGAATAAAATAATAATCAAACAATTTTTGTAAGATACATATTTATATGCAAAAGCAAATATTAATTTTGATTTTAATGACTGCTGAAATTCTTTTCCCTTATTTGCCAATCATTTTCTACTTTGGTCAAGAACTGTGCATAAAAAGCAAGCTACACGCGCTCCATTCAGCCCCATATCTATCTTGATAATACGAGAGCAATTCGGAAATAAACCTCCATTTGGTTATCAATGACAGACACTCACATATACAGAACTTTTATTATACACATTAGAAAACTGCAACATTACATTACTTTTCGACATAGTCACCATTCAAATTGTGGCACTTGTCATAACGTCTTACAAGGTTTGAAATTCCTTAGTAGTAGTCGCTCAGTGCCAAATCAGGGCTACATGAGGGGTGATCAAAAACATCCCAACGGAACTGCTTCAAAAGTTCTAGGGTGCATCTAGCGGTGTATGAGCAAGCAATATCGTGAACCAACGCCACATCGGAAGTGGTGCCAAAGAAAACCCCGCCAAATGTGAAGATGCCAAAGGAGTATTGGTAGTGAAGTTCATGGAGCGTGGTTCGACCATCAATTCAGAAGTCTACTGTGAAACATTACAAAAATTCAGACGTGCCATCCATAACAAGCGTTGGGGCATGCTGACTTCTGATATGGTGTTGGTTCACGATAATGCTCGCCGGCACACCGCTAGACATACCCAAGAACTTCTGAAGCAGTTCTGTTGGGATGTTTTTGCTCACCCCCCCTCGTAGCCCAGATTTGGTGCTGAGTGACTACTATTAAGGAATTTCAAACCTTGTAAGACGCTATGACAAGTGCCTCAATTTGAATGGCGATTATGTCAAAAAGTAATGTAATGTTGTAGTTTTCTGATGTGTATAATGAAAGTTCTGCATCTGCCAGTGTCTGTCACTGATAACCAAACGGAGCTTTATTTCCGAATTGCCCTTGTAATACAATAGTAAGATCATGGAAGCACAAAAACTGTGTACACATAAAAGCAAAGCACTAACAGCAAAACAATTATGAACTATTCTGATTCTTATTCTACACAAAATATAACTGAAAACATTCAAAAGTTAAATTTAACTGTGAACTTTGAAACTTTATGATAAAAATATTGATTCCAGAAATAATATAACTTTTATGTTTGATGACTGATACCACTGGTATAATGCCAACAAAAGCATCAGAAAACATGTTAAGTCCAATATACCAGTTGAATAGTACTATGTTAAAAGAAGTTGAACACAATTAAAAAATTACAAACTATCACCAAAATGAAGGAAAGGGTATTACTGATAAATTATGATTCACATATTATGAAATGTGTATGAAAATGCTTGGTCTGTTAAGAAAAAAGTTAACTTCACCTGAAGTACTATATTTCAGGGCTTAAAATCTTATTAGATATAAACTAATGCCATATGCACCAAAAATAAATTATTATTTTAAAAACAACAATCTCTTAAGAGGATAAGAACAAAGAAATCTTTTAAGGTCTTTAAGAAATAATTTTAACTTGAAAACATTTGCTATTTCTGATGCAAAGTGTTTCCACTTTTATTTAACACTAGAGTTTTGTAGGAACCATCTAAGGATGGTTTTATGTCAGATATTCCCTCTGCTATTAGTCAGTTATATCAAATGACTATACTTGTTAAGGCAACACATAGGTATAAGATGGATAGAAAAAAATGTATTTGTCATAGATATTTTGGTGTCTATAAGCTACACAATGCAAATATTTGCTCTACTGTAAGAACATTTAAATTAATTTTTAGTCATAACTATTCAAGATCCCAAATATTATGGCACAAGTAGGAAATGTGTATATTACTAAATTATAATCTCAGCATCTTTATCTCTACAGTTAGAAACAATTCAGAAATTTCTAGAGCTTACAGTAATTGCTTGGACACTTACCTCTGTTCAATGCCAAGATGTGCATTAATGCTTGCATATCTAGCTGTACCAGTGAGATTTTTGTCTTCTCTATATGGTATGTGTTGCCTTGTTCTGTTGTCCCGGTACTTTTTGGCCAACCCAAAGTCAATAAGGAATAACTTTAAAATAGATAAAATAGATTCAAATTTCCAGATGGCATTTGGAAATAGCATCGGAACTTTTAAGTATATGCCTAATAGATAATTGAGATCAACAAAATTAAATTAAATTATATTTAAGGGCAAAGGAAACAAAATCACAACTCTTAATTATCACTTGAAAAATAAAATATAAAATGGACCTAACCTTTCTCATCTACTTAGGAAAAAACAAATAAAATTATTCAAAGTGAGTTTTACTGCAAAAACTGTTAATTGTATTACTTTCTTATGGATGTTCTATATGTTGACATGCCTCTAAAGAGATTGTAGGGACTGGAGAAAATTAAAGTATTGTAAAACAAATAATTGAATAAAGCTAGGCCACATAAATTTAATATTTTCATATTATATATGTGACAAAAAAGGGAAAAGGGGCAATTTTATGAAACTGTTTTAATTTTTCAAGTAATTTTGCTTTTCTGCCACTTACTGCTATAATTTTTTTCCACGATGCTGAAGCTTTCTTTCATATTCATCAAAGAATATCTAAATAGTTGAATTCAAGATCAAATTGACACAAGATAATTTATTTTATATTTTACTAATTAAAGTACCATCAAATTTAACTAAAATGTTCAGTTACAAATAATCTGGGAGTTGTTATATGTGGCAGATTAAAAGTATAAGAAGTAAGTTGTCTAAATAAAAAAACTATCAGTTTTGTTTTGTACAAAACTAAGACTAGCATAAGGGAATAAAACAATTTTTAAGGGTTTAGTCTAGTCCATTTTAGGAAGTGTGCTAAAACGTCTAGTAATTCCTGTACATTTTTTTGCCAAATCTTACAGGCAATACAGAAAAAGAGATTTTTTTTAAAAAAAAAAAAGAGAGAGAAAAGTTTTCTAAAATAAAAGCATAAATTGACTAAATTTTAGAAAACAATTGAAAACAATCATTTAACAAATGTTCGGGTTACTAGTGCCTTTAAGGAACATTTTATTATAAGCTTATTTAATAAGCAAGCAAGTAAATAAAGAAATAGTTGTTGGGCCTTTACAATTTGCCATGTTGTTTAGACTCAATGAGAGAGGAAGACAGACAGTATTTAAAGCAGGGTCAACAGGCATCATCACACACTAACATTTTCTAACAGAACTAATTTTTAAAAATACATTTTGAAAGTTAAAGAATGATTAACATTTACTGAGATCTCAAGCACGAAAACTGATTTGGATATCCCATGAGATTTTGCTCAATCTTAAAAGATCAGTGAGTGCTATCCTAGTGTGTTGCAGGCGTAATACCGTTGACTCCTGATTTAAAGTTAACTGAACACTTGCGTTTATGTTATAGGTGAATGTAGATGGATGATACTTAATCATCTATGAATGATGACCTGAAAACAATACAAAACACAGAATACCTAGTTGATTCAAATAAGTAAACCGTATAAAGTTGAAATATTAGTAGGTTAATTAATATTTCCTTTACTAGCACAAGGCAGGAAAGAGATTATGTTTTTTTAAGTATTGTAAAAGTAGTTGACATTAATTTTATAATTTTCAGAAATTTATTTTCTTTTTATCTCTGATTTGGACAAATGGAAGATATAGGTACTCTTATAAAACACTGGGCAAAATAATTATTCCAGATGAACAAGAATGGCTATTTTTTAGGAGTTTTGAAATGTTTCAGATCATCTGCAATACACCTTCACTAACAGTATTTTAAAACATTATATAAAAGCCATCTTGGAATGCTATGGCATCAAGTTTTTAAAAGATGAATTTATCAGATTTCAATTGTGTTAGGTATTTTATTTAATGGCTAAGGGTAGATTACGGCAAGGAAAGAACTCTGCCATGTAGCTCTTCTATGCTACTATATTCTTACAATCTCAAAACACTAAAGCCATGCTTCATTACTGGGAAAAATGCTAGGAAGCAAAGTTACCTAGCACCATACTAACACTCCCTCTTAAATTGCTTTGGTTGAGAAGTGAGCACATTACTTTTTAGATTAGATATAATACTATTCACCCAATAAACCACACTTCCCCAAGCTACTGAATTCAAATCTTCCTAATTTACTCTCCCCTCATGAATGCCTGCATGACTCTTGCTGATTTAGTTTCAGAGTAATTAAGGAAATCCAGTCAGAACTGGAATGATGGACCGGAAAGGGAAACTCAATGATTCCAATCTGAAACTGGCAAGATACTTCTGCTGCTTCCACTGGGATAAAGGTTATTTGTACTTTTCTATTGTCCAAGACAGCACATTTTAACACAAAAAGGATATTGTTCTTCCTTGCACAAAATATATCCATTTTATATTTAGGTAAATCAATTTTAGAACAAAAAGTATCACTTCCCTGTTAATTAGCATAGGACACAGTTTTCAGACTGGCTCAATTATTATGTGATACTAAAACATTTCTGGCATGACCTGATCGAGCCAAATGGTTCTGAATAACTCATTGAGTCTCCATATTTACCCTTCTTCTCCCCTGCCTCATATCCATACAATAAAGGACTTCAGCCAACTTTATTTTTTTAAGTTTTTTTTACTTCAGTTTCAATTTTTCACAAAACCATTTTATTAAATACAAATTAATGATCGTGCATGAAAATAAACCATGATTAAGCAACCCAGTTTAAACAGCTGACTTGTTTAATCTCTTGTTCTTCTGTAAGTAGCCAACTCCTGTGACAATTGAGATCAGTCTCCTAGCATTCTCCTCCTCTGCAGAAATCTATATTATGAAATCCTAAAACCCACCCTGGGGCTATATTGAAGTTTGAACAAGTTCCAATGTTATAAATTAGACAGATACCGTAATTTGAGCCACAATATAGCATAAAAGAATGCTGCATATAATGAAAACTATTCCAATTGCCACATTTCTAAATTCACGGGCCCAAAGTATTATAATAAAATTCATATTTAATAAATAGACAGCCGTTTAAGGCGCTAAGAATTCATTAACTAAAATATGGTAAATTTTTAATGAGATACAATTACCTTAGTTACTTGATCTATACTAAAAAGTTCTATTAAAATTTACTGCTGGAAACAAAGCATGTTCTTTGGAAAAAGTATAGTAGGTCTTGATTCTCTCCATCCAAAATGCATTTCCCCCCAAACATATTAATCATTTTAATGAAGAGGGAAACAAATCTCATCAAGACCTACTACCAGACCATGCACACATAGGCATTTCTAATTCTTCACAATACATTCTATATCCTCCTCGTCACATTTCAGAACACAGAGCTACTCTTCTAGGATTAATACAAAGTTCGGACAGTTATCCTTAAATCATATTAACATGGATAAAAGAAGAACCGTTTATCTTAGACAGGCGCTTAGTAATGTTACATGTTTGCCAAGTATGTCTGAATAATGCCAACATAAGGTGCTTTTTGCAAATCTACATGTTTTCCGAAATAAAATAAAAATGCATATGAGTTGGGATTGAGGTTGGAATAGAGACAGTTCAGACCTGGTTTAATCCTGAGAAAGATGGGTCCTGAGAAGTACTAACAGTCATGCTTCTTTTCCTCTTCCCCACTGGAGATTCTAAACACTGAACAAACAATAGAGGGTGGCAGTGCATCAAACAGTATTGCTTACATTGCAACAATGGCTGGCGCAGACAGGCAACACCGAGGCGTTAGAGAAAGAATAGGGTAGCCAAATGCCATCCTTCTTCCACCAAGCACTACAGTTTTCCAAAGGAGATCGTGTGTACACAGAAAAAAATTTAGATGTGGCAAGATAAATTTGAGCATGCCACTTTAAAATGACACTGCCTTGAACAGGGATAGCAATGGCAATATTTGGCTTAATAAAAAGGAATTTTGGCATTTACATATGTACTGCCCTTCCCCCAAACAACATGTGGGAAATAAATCTTCAGTAAGGAAGAGGTAGAAGGCATTTAGTCACCTTAAGTTCACTTTCATAAGCATGCAGGGCTTTTTGTAGGAGAGGCTCAAAGAAGATCTTATATTAGGAGTAAGACAATTCCTAAGACATAACATTTTAAAATAAATGTTTAGAAATAAAAGCATTCCAATTTTATTGTCTATATTTTAGTTTATTATGAACATAATTTACTGGAACATGATTAACAAAACAGCCTCACCAACTGTAAATACCATGTCTTAAAACAATGGATATGTGATACAAAATTCATCTGAATTTTTGCTAAAGGAAGAAAATTTTAAACCATATCAATATTTAACGGAGCTGCTGATTTCACACTTTTAAAGCTTTAAATTCTGTGTGGATTAAACAAAGGGGGTTATAATCTTATCTATAGGATTACTTGTAATATCAAACAAATGTCTAAAATTTAATGCTTGTCACTCTATTTAAATGGCTACTAGGACTGAAAAATGTGGTCCTTTTTTTTACATCATCTAATGTGACTCTAATAAAGTCACTTAACAAAGCACAACATTTTTCAGTCCACATTTCCACATCACAAGAAAAAAAAAATAAAGTGTTGCAATGCCAGCTCACTATAACTGTCAAAGAATATGGAGAAATGGCCCAAAAAGAGAAGAAATATCAAATCAAGACTGGTTTATTTATTTTTTTCTAGTTATACTTCCAGTTCTTGTCAGAAAATTAAAGGACTGCATTAAAGAAACAAGAATATGAAATTTAGAGATAAAGTTCAATAGAAATAGGACTGACAGTGTCTTTTAAATTTGACTTTTGCAATTTCTTCTCACCCCAACTCCCCAGAGTTGTTTAATGCTTCACTGAACGCCTTTAAAGCAGAATTCAACAGGTGGTTGTTGGTTTGATTTTGCTCTAAAGTAATGGCTCCAAGTTGGCATTCATACAGGCAAACAAAGGTAACATTTTATAGCTAAAAATATCAAAAAGGTAAACACTGATGGCTTATGAAGAACCAATCTGTATGGGAATGTTGCTGCCAATATAGATTCGTTTCACATACATTTCCCCAAACTTAAGAATTTCTATTTAACAGCATGCTTAAATGCATTGCCAATGCTGCCTGTCTGCTCGAGCTCAATGTACAGTATAGCAAAGATTACTCTCGCAAGCTAGCCAAGAATATTTCCAATCAAAAGTTTCAAAAGAAAACATGCATTTCCAGCTCAATTTCTATCAACCCCCTTCTACCCACACTTAAAATCCAATAAAATATTAAAATTCAAGAAGCAAATGTTAACCTATACCTACCCATAAACTGCATTCTGAACTTCCACAGGCTTGTGAATGCACAGGACACAGTTGAATAAACAAAGCTACAGTGTTACAAACCAATATTTCTTTAGAAGTTGATTCTACCCAATTAAAAATCTAGGTAACTGGAAGTCAAGAATCCACCATGCTAATAAATACAGCAAACAATAAAAATCAGTTTATGGCAAGCTGTGCTACTATAATTCATTGGTTTTGACTAATAGGTTATTTAATAGAAGGAACTTGAGTATGCAAAGAAAGATAGGTTATATAACATACTGATTTGCTTAACTAAGGTCTGCACAAAGGCAGAGATCATATGATTTTCCTGCAGGAGTATGACTGAAAATCTTGTCTTTTGATAAATACTATAGCTAACTCAAGCAGCACAACTTTTCAATAAACTGTATTTTATTTTAACTTTTTTCATGCAAAAAAAGTGTTAAGACTAACCTTATTACAGTGACGTCCGATACCCATTAGAAAGTTATCTGGTTTAATATCTCTGTGTATAAAATTCTTTGTGTGCACATATTCAATTCTACTGATCATCTGTAAACAAAAAGAAAATTGGTCAAATTTAAAAGCATTTCAGGTATGATTTTAATAATAATCTGTCCTATAATTCAAAAATATTTGCATCAATCTTATTACCTGAAAATAATCTAAACCAGTTAATAAACCTACTCAATGTTTTGTAAATAAATGCTTTTCATTATTAGATAATGAGAAAAGGAACACTATCTTATGGAACTATCATCAACACCCCTAAAAGTGGAGATTACCATATTGCCTAAGTAAATTAAAGGATCAGTGCACCTCAACATCTGGCTGAGTGTCTATATGCTAGCCTAATGCCTGTCTGTGGAAAACAGTCTTCCCACAAAATCAGTTATTTTCACTCTGGGCATCTTGCAAAAACCATCTGTCTAGAATTGTATCAGATGTCTGAGCCTGATACTACAAAGGAACCTTGTTGTAGAGCAGGACTTTTCAACCTTTTCACCGATTGTACCACTTTTAGAATATGGCAACATTCGAGTACCACCAGTCACCTAGCGAGGTGTCAAAAACTTGATGACCCCCAAAAATTGGAAAAAAGTGATAAAGTACAGGTAGTCCTTGACTTACAACAGTTTGCTTAGTGACTGTTCAAAGTTACGACGGCACTGAAAAAAGTGACTTATGACCATTTTTCACACTTATGACCGTTGCAACATCCCCAGAGTCATGTGATTTACATTTCGATGCTTGGCAACTGATTCATATTTATGATGGCCACATTGTTCCAGGGTCATGTGATCGCCTTTTGCAACCTTCTGATAAGCAACGTTAATGGGGGAAACCAGATTCACTTAACCATGTTACTAATTTAATCTCTCCCTCTCTCTTTCTCTCTCCCTCTTTCCCCCTATTTCTCTCTCCCTCTTTCTTTCTCTCTCCCTTTCTCTCCCTCCCTCTCCCTTTCTCTCCCTCTCTCTTTCTCTCTCCCTCCCTTTCTCTCTCCCTCTCTTTCTCTCTCCCTTTCTTTGTCTCTCCCTCTTTTTCTCCCTCTCCCTCTTTCTCTCTCCTCTTTCTCTCTCCCTCTTTCTCTTTCTCCCTGTCACTCTCTTTCTCTCTCCCTCTCTTTCTCTCTCTCTCTCCCTCTCTCTATTTCTCTTTCCCTCTTTCTCTCCGTCTCTCTATTTCTCTCTCCCTCTCTTCCTCTCAAAGATCCTTAAAATCCTTAAATGCTATGCTTGGGTGGAAGACTTTCTTTTACAGATGGGGTGGGTTGGCAGACAAGTAAAAAAAAAGGAAAAAAAAGTGTGAATAGGTGTCCAGTAGCTAGCTTGAAGTTTGAACGACTTCTTTTTCTTGCCACCGGCTTCTAGGAGGAGCAAAAGACATCCAGCACTGCAACCAGGCACCCTGGACTGGCCATTCCAGGGCTTCCTGCACCGGCTGACTTAGTTGTCTGCAACCTCCTGTTGTCGCTTGGGGGGAGAGATTCCATCTTTCTCATCCGAGGAGGGAAGTTATGTCGGACCGTCGACTCTGTGTCGAGCCCCGTGGGCCCAACATTCGCGGGCAGACCACCTCCCCATCGCCCTCCACGCCGGCTGGCTCCGTCGCCAGACCTCCCAGCTGACAAGTGCACATTCGGGGGTCGCCAGCTGATGGGCGCAGAAGATTGGCGCCGCGGCAGCCTCCCAGCCACCCGCTTCTTCGGCTGGAGCAATTGCCAGGGCTTGCATGGTCGCTGGCGGCGGAGAGCGCGTCAGCGGCCATTGGGGACTCCAGCGGTTCTGTGCCACGAAGGCTTGAGGCGTGGGACTTGGAGCAGCATGGTGCCATGGGAGGCGGCAGGACGGGGGGAGGGGTTACCTGCATGCTGCCGGCTGAACTCTGGAAGCCTGCCTGAATGAAGAATTTTAGGGGGAGTTGAAAACGAGACAGACTTAGGGCTGTATTAAGACGATAGATGGCTGCGTAAGGAGAGTGGAAAAGAGGCGAATTCGGGGTGGTGAAGAAAACACGGGGGGAAGGCGTTAGGAAATAAGCGCCAAGGTACATGGTGCCTTGCAAGGGATTCCCGAGTGTTCCGCAATTGTTTTTCCTCTCTCCTCTGCGTGAGAAAAACTTTTGCGGCGTAAATCTGAAACCAGGTGTTCCTGTGAGGTGGCGCAGGAGGTCCTTGGGAGAGGCGAGGATAAGCTTGGCGTTTCCTCTCTCCAAATCCCCCTCTTCTTCACTCCCTTCCCCGGCCTGCCTGCAATCTTAGCTCGCGGCTCCGTGGCTTTTCTTTGCCTAGCCTAGCCAAGCGGGCTCGACATGAACGGGCGGGGGAAGGGGTCGAGGACGTGCGGGGCGGCAAAGGAGACCAGCGGCCGGCGCCGTTCTACCTGGCACCGTGGGTGTCGGCTCCGTGGGTGTCCCGACCAACAGCTGAGCGGCTCAGACTTCTGGCCGCCGAACAGCTGAGTCCTCCGGGAGACAACGTGAGGGCCCTGAAGGGTATCGCAAGCTCGCGGGGGGGGAGAGGAAAAGAAGATGGAAGAGAGTGAGGCCGCAACAGAGAGGGAGAGAAGGGGAAAGAGGGGCGGTTGTGATGTTCGCACTCAGGGGCGCGACGCGAGCGGTCTCAAACCCCTTCCTGCGGTCTCAAACCCTTCCTGCTGAGGGAGTAGACAGCTCTGTCTCCTATCAGACTAGCGATTGTTGTGAAGTAAGAAGAGGGAGAAGGGCGATATGGATCCCGCTGACCTGCGTGCACGAGAAGTCAATCCGGTTGCTGCACAATGAGTCCCTGGGGAGGCCGGGGCCTTGCTCTGTGCTCTTCACACACCTCCTGCAGGGCACATTCAGTAGAGTTCATGCAGGCTGCCAAGCAGCATATTTTCCACAAACAAATGAGGTGGGAAGGAGCGGAGCGGGGTGGAGGAAGGCGACGCCGCGTACCACCAGCCAGGTGGTCGCGTACCACCAGTGGTACGCGTACCACCGGTTGAAAAGCCCTGTTGTAGAGGAAGATTATTGCTGCTTAGCTCAATGTGAAAGTTATGTTGGAACAGGGATGGGGCAGATATGTTAATGTAGGTAACTACTAGTTCTATCAGAGCCTAGTATCATGAGTTCCATTAGGCAGGTACAGGAAAAATTAAGACTGGGAAATGGCCTGGATGTGTGCACACTCAAAGTAATACTTAGTAGGAAAAGGTACAGGAAGAACGTAAATTTTATTACATGTATTGGATTCGGAGCTTCTTTTCAGATTACCATCTACCCAAAGAGATCAAGGTGACAATGAAGACAACTCCTCTAAAGAAAACATCCAGCTCTTCAGTGTCATATCTGTTGTTGCTTACGCATTTATTATCCAGAACTGAATTTTGTTCAAAGCACTGATTTGGCATATATTATTGAGACAGAAGAGGGATATATTAGCTGACAGAGAGGGATTCATGGGATAGGACTGGTGGGCAGGAGACTGGCATGGTGTGTAGCAAGAATAAACAAGTCTTTTTGCCGTCTCTGATGATGACTGCAGCAAATGAATAGTGCAGTTTCCTACCACTTTGAAATGGAAAAGCCAAGTTTACAAACTCCCCTCAAAATTCTGCCTCATGAGCATAAGCAATGTAACTCCATCCATTTCATGGTCCTCAACTGTCCCAATGTTTTGTTATTATGGATTCTTTGTGGTTTGTAAATATCACGATTTAAACCAAGTATACCTAAATCTTGCCTCTCGTGGTTTAGCAAATCAATCAGGGCATATCCTAATGCCAAACTTCAAGAGGGACTTATTCTTGCCTAAAACATGCACTTCCTGGACAGTCTTTGGCAACAGATTCTGGATTATTTAAATTGGAAATTGAATGCATGGAGTCCAATTATTGCTTCTTAACCATTCAATTCCAGGAAGCATTCTGTACCCTTGAAGCATATCTGATTCCAATAATGTGATAGATGAGAACAAGCTGAAATTAAATCAATACAAGATAGAGATAACATTGATAAACAGGAAACTTGACTCAGTGATTAAAATTTAGTCTATTTAGGATGGAACTGCACTCCCACTTGAAGTCTATAATCTAAGAATTCTCCTTGATCTTTAGGTGTCACTGGATACAGAATTAAAGGTGTCAGCCTTTCAAGGTAGTTCAGACAAGAAACACAAACCAAGAGTACCAACATTACCTTTTTCTGTAAGGTTATAGTATCAGAATCTTACAATTTGGAAAGCACTTCTACCCTTTTACTTTTACTTACTAGGGAGGGTCCCTTCTAAGAGTCTTCGCCTGCCCTCTTTCCTTCTATGGGCTGAGACATCTTTTGCATGACACTTCTCAAGACTGTGCCTTTTTCTCCTGTCTCTCAAAGATTATTCTCACAGACCATGACAAAAGTGCTTTTTCACAATTACAATTGCTAGGCTAACTTTGACCCCTCTTGATTTTTTTTGTTGTTGTTATCCATGCTTTTGTTACTTCCTATCATGACCACTGATTTTTTTTTTCACTATGACTATTTTGAAAACTGGCTAGAAGTTATAATTGATACAATGCTGCAAAGTACGGGGATCACATGATGTTGGGATTGAAAGATGTTTATTGATTGCTGTTTGCTTACTAAATGCAGTTTAAGCTATTAATATCAATCAGATATGTACAAACTCTACACTAAGAAAATGGAATAGTTGGGCAACTCTGAACTCTGTTGTTCCTCTGGATTACATCAATCTCAATTTAGTCCAATAGTTTTCCTGAAGTAAATTTGGTGAATTGGTAGTAGTTTGTGCTGTTCTTAATAAACTACAGTTGGATTATATTTAGATCTGGTGCAATCCAAAGAAAGAGAAAAATTCCACAGTTCTCTCCAGAGATGTCTATTATTCACATTCTTGACATTAATCTTTAAAGTCCTGAAAGGGCTGATGATTATCCTGTCTTTCCAATGAAATCTGCTGAATAGGCTCTTCTGAAGAAGCTGTTAAATATCTAACTATTTGACTCATGAAAGAGAGCCTTCTATATTGCTTCATGGCTTACGTTTAAAAGAACATTTTAATGAAACATTTTGCTAGGCTTTTAACTGCTAATTTATTAATTTTCACATGTGTTTTAACTTTCTGGATTGCAAAATTTGTTTATGATTCTTGTCAGCATTCTTGGATATCTGCTTGAGGTGAAAAGCAGAATACAAAACAAATATATAATGTTAAGATTTATCCTGTTTATTCTATAGAACTAAAACATACTGTTTCTCTCCATAAAATCCTTTTATCATTTTGAGCCTTTATTATGTCCATGTATTCATATTATTGACCATAGAAAAACAAGTTATGTTATTCATGTCTAGTCTATGTATTGCTCTATATTAAAAGAACTTAAATTTCTGTTATTAATTGTGTCATGTTAAATGATCAATATACTTCCATAGACCCATTGGAGAATTTTTAGAATAGGGGTGTCTTTGGCCTGCATGCACCCTCCTATTCCCAATATGCAACTATTCTTCCAACTCTCATCCTGGTTGCAGAGTAGTAATCTTGTTTTCCCATAGAAAATGAGGTTTTTTTTAAAAAGCGAAGTATATCTCTGATTGGAGTATTTCATTCAGAAAAAATGAAATAATAACGGCAGAAATAAACTGCTGTTTAACAGGTATTCTTCTGCAATTGCAAGAAACAGTATCTTTAAAATTTTTCCATTATACTCCCATACTTCAGATTTGAATCTTTATACAAACATGCTTCATTGAAGGACTGGATGAAAATTGTAGTTAATGTTTCTCCTTTAACATTGCTTCAATTTACCATCTTTTATTTGGCAGTTAGACACACAAAAGCATTTTGGCACAGCATGTGTACAATATATATATAGTTAATGGACTCCTAACCAGCCAAGTGAGATACAAAAAGGAACAAGACAAGGCTATCTCTTGTCCCCTGTTTATCTACATTTATTGGTGACTGTAAACCACTTATATTTATTTGCACAGAACAGGAAAAAAATGAACTTACGATTTATGGCTTTGACATTAGAAAAAATAGACAATAGAAAAAACCAGAGCTTTTTTTTGTAACCACTGAGTAAGACGTAATTTTGTAATTGTACTTATATTTGCTGTAAAGAAAATTAGAAGCTACTTCTATTTCTTTTCATTCTTTCTTTTTGCAGTTTTCTCTTTTCTTTCATTTATATTCTTTCATTTCATTATATAATTTTATCTTTTCAAAACTCTTTAAAACTTTTATAAACACAAGAGATACAGCATAGAACTATTGCAACTACTCTTCTTTTGAATTTAAGATTTAGGATAAAGACAATTAATAATGCTAAGTATGAAATAATATACTCTATATTGCATGATTTGGGCTACAAATCTTGTGTTATTCAGCAGGTGATCTCCCATTCACATTATTGTTTTTTCATTCTATCTGGCTCAAATTCTCACTGGAGTGCTGATATTATAAAGTCAGTAAACTTTATGTGTATTTGAAAACACAAAGCAAACTGCATTTTAGGGAACTTCTGGTACTCCTCACCCAAGCAGAGTATTTACACAATTTACATACCTGGTCTGCTAACATAAGTACTGTTTTCATTGTGAACCTTCGAGAACAGAAGTTGAAGAGATCTTCAAGACTAGGTCCAAGAAGATCCATTACTAGAACATTGTAATCTTTTTCTTGACCATACCACCTGCAAAGAGACAAAAATCATCATTAGTGTTAACCTAAATACAACTGAGTAGTATTAATTTGTTAAAGGTGACTTCAAATAATAAAATACAGTGTAGTTTTCTTATAGCATAGAATATGGTTCCCAATGGCATATAGTGCAACAGACCTGTATTAAGTATCCACACTATCTAGCATCTAATTATTAATACAATTTTCCTTATTTCTTTTTTGGTTTTTATCCCTATAAGCAGTAAAAAAAGCCAAGAATTGTATGTATGTATGTATGTATGTGTATGTATGTATGTGTGTGTGTATATATGTATGTATGTATGTATGTGTATATATATATATATATATATATATATATATATATATATATATATATATATATATATATATATATATATATATATATATATATATGCTACAAATATATACACACAGTAGCATGATGATATTGCATCTTGCATCAATAATATAGTCTCAATCATCTGGATAATTCAATTAGCTTACAGATAATCTAATTTTAAATTTTTACTTTAAAGGCAACGTCAAAATAAAAAAGGTATTTTGTAGTCAGGAAGCTGACTACAATTCCTTTAGATGTCTATTCCAAGTTCTTCAGTTGTTTTGGGGCTCTTTCAACAATTACCAAACTTGGAATATTATCACAGAATTGTGTAACACTAACGTTTGCTGCAACTAAGTCATGATGTGAAACTACTTACAGTAAGAGAAATTACTACACATTCAAACTTGTAGAAACAAATGGTTAAGATTAGAGGGGAAAAAGTCTTAAAATATCTGACATGATGTTACACAGAACATGAAGAAGAGCTGCTCTGTATTATTGTACAAAGCAGATACAGAACCCAGAGTGGAAGCTTCAGTGGAAATCCATAGCATATTGAATATTATCCCAAGTGTCAAGAAATATTCAACAACAAAACAAATAGGAGCTGATGGGTAATCCTTTGCTGGCTTATTAGGTAGTCCAACAAAGTCGTTCGCTGGAAATCCTTTAGTTGCATCCTATGCTGCAAATCACATACTGAATATAAAATCTGATTATATGTCTCCAAAATCCTTTTCCACTTTATGTTTGTATTTTCAAGTTGAGCAACAATACACCTTCAAGAGTAAGGTCCATACTGCTCCACTCCGCTACAAAAGGGATGGACAATACATGGTGCTATATATAGTGGGAGTTTGCAACTACAACTGTTCACTATTGCAGGATAACAAAGGTCCCACTACCCTACCAATTTAAAATAAATTCTGAAAAATGGCAAATAGTAATAGTGGTAGAATCTGCACCATAGCTACTAAGCAGTTGGTCAATAATAAAAAGTGAAATATTTTTAGAGCGAAATAGAATTATTTTAAATTAGGATGTAAAAAATAACAACCCCAAGCCCTTAAATGGATTAGCAGGAAGTAAAACAAGGTTTCCTAGCTCAAGTCCATCATTAAATATATACTATAAAGATAGCACAAAATCAGTACAGTAATTGAACTGTATTCTTTGATCATCAAAAATTCTTTGAGAGATCCTTGATGCTCTCTGAACTTGGTTGTTACCTTGCAGACATTTCATTACCCAAACCATGCAACATCATCAGGGCACAATTCAAAATTGTTTTGAATATGAAAAAAAATTAGCTATAAATGATCAGGCTCAAATCATTGTTATGTTGGACATGTTATACAAAGACCTAGCTTTACTGAAGTCTACAGTGCTGGGAAAGATGAAAAAGAAAAGAGGATGCCCACAGCAAAGTAGATGGATTTAGAGTCAGTGGCAATGTGTACACGACTGTAAGATCTGAAGAACCAAGTTGGAGACAGATTGTCCTGGAGAGAAAAACTATTCATTGTGATGAATATAGCGGTATGTATATACATATTCATCTTAACTTGTCTCTTTAGGATAAAAAGTTTTATACAGAAAAGAGAAATATTAATAAGTAAAATCAATCAGAGGCATGAAATAAAGAAAAGGGGACATGGCTAAAACCAACGTAATTCATTATACCTCTTCCATACTTTACCAATTATTCCTGCTACTATTATACTCATACATCATCTCACAGAAACAAAAATGGATTCTAAAAAAATTGACATGCTACTGCTAACCTAAATGGAATATAATAGAAGAAAAATGTGATTTTTTTAAAAAAAAATGTGGAAAATTTCTTCCAATGGAAATTGCCTCTAATAGGGAAAAATGCAAATTTGGGGAAATATAATAAATTAAAATAATACGTTTTCTCATTTAGAATGAACCTGGTATTTTAAAATGCTACTTTATGATTTTGCCTCTCCCAAATGTTTTCAAATAAACCATGAATAAACAATATTAGGCAATTGCAATTTACTGTAAAGAAACAAATTACAAAAATCTATATACACTGAATATACTGAACAGAAATGAAAGAATGGATGCAAAATTAATTAATGCTATGAAAATGCTGAAAATGTTAAAGGTGCAATGAAATTAGTACAACTAGAAAAACGTTAAAGCACGAATGTGATTTGCTTTTAGAATACAATACCTGTGCAGTTTATTCAACATGTGTGCATCTATGTCTGATAAAAGAAAGAGATATTGTTCCCATACAAAAAGGAAAAGTAGTAACAGTGACAAAAGTAGAAAATATTGAACGAAATTAGCTTATTTAGTGTGCCTGGGAAAATATTTGGGCAGTATTCTAATTGAAAGGTATAAGGAGCAGTGATGAACACAACTTGTGAAATGTAGTAAGGCTTCCTATCAGGCTTGTATTTGCTCTTCAACAGTTCACAGAGAAATATATAGATTGAGATAGTTTGTACATCTGTGGATTTAGAGAAGAAACATAGTAAAATGAATATATAATCTTTGTGCAAACATGGGATTGAAGGCTGGCTTTTGAACAGTATAAAACCAGCTCACTATGGAATGCTTAGCAAATGGTTCAACATTGGTTGTTTTAATGAAGTGGTTCTCAACCCATGGTCTCCTTCTGACCTTGTTTTTCTCCTGTGGTCCATCTGTCCAGGTCATATTATCAGTGAAAAAGATTGCCACTTATACACCTGACTTTCCTTTTATGTGGCCACCTCAGCATTGCTCCCGTTACATGTATTTCACCTGTGGTCCACTTGAAATATCCTAGGGCTCCTGGCTGCCTATTAGAATAGAGTAACAGAGTTGGAAGGGACTTTGGAGGTCTTTTACTCCAACCTGCTGCTCAAGCAGGAAACCCTATACCATTTCAGACAAATGGCTGTCCAACGCCTTCTTAAAAACCTTCAATGAGGAAGCACCCATAACTTCTGAAAGCAAGTCGTTCCACTGATTAATTGTTCTAGCTTTCAGGAAATGTTTCCTTATTTCTAGGTTGGATTTCTCCTTGATGAGTTTCCATTCATTGCTTCTTATCCTGCGTTCAGGTGTTCTGGAGAATTATTAAAAATGGCAAACAGTATTCTCCTTCTTTAAGCGGATGAAGTGCTGAAGACTTTCAGGAACTGCTGAAAACTGCCTAAAACAGGCCTTTAAGTATAAAAACAGATTTACGATAGTGTGAACTGCCTGCCAAATTTTGATCACGGAGGTGCTGTAACAGGTGGAACTTTGAGGACCAGTCCCTTTGTTCAGTGCCATCATATCTTTGAACTGTTGTTGAATAAGTAGTTGTCACTCAAGGACCATCTATATAGAAAAACTGATCACAATAACATAAAAACTGTGCATGAAGGCTGTAATTTTTGGTTAATTACTGCTTCTGCTGTTTGCTCTGGATTGTTTTTTAAAAATACGGTTAAGATATAAAAACACTGGGGACATATAGGGTTCAACTTTATCCTAGCCACAGATACTCGGGAGAGTCAGAATGATTTCAGGCCAATCAATCTTTTATACCAATCTATATATAATATTACTATTATGAAGAAAAAATGGAGAAAACATGATATAAAATAAATGACTAAATATTTAGCTCAACAGGCTTAGAATTTCCCAAGATTTACAGTAATATGAGACATTCCCAGACTGAAGACCAGCACAATTTCCCTCTGCACTAGCTAAATATGCACCAACACTATAAAAATGAAGCACAGAATAACAGAATATATCTGAATAGAAATATTCTATAACCTTTTGATCAAAAGACACAGAATTAGACTTTTTCAACACTAGTACTTACTTAACTAAATGGTAGAATACAATGTATTTCAGGAAAATTCTTGTTTACAGAAATACAAGTGTTTTGCTGGTTTAGTGAATGGGATGTAAAGTGGAAAACAAAACAGAATATTCTGATCATGCCCTGTGAAGTCTGGCAGGCTCTCATCACCTAGCCGTCTACTAGTATTTAAGAGCCTGCAAGCAATGGGATAAAATGTGGCTGGAGCCCAGCGAAAGTGAATGTTGATATATGGAAAAATGTTTCCTTTTTGGGAAATAAGGAGTTTTTGTACTTTAGAGGTTTTAGAATCTTTTATTGTTGGTGTGAGCCATCCTGGGATTTGGCACATGAAATGGGCAGTGATGTACGTTTTTTTAAATAAACAAACCATGTAATTCAGAATTCCTAAGCAATGGTATAGTTGTTATAGTTCTCTTACTGTCAGATTTTCTAGGGTCCAATTTTTCCAAGTGCATCCTAAAAATGTGACATAAATAATGATCTTTTCCAACTTCATTTACTATATCATCCTCTGTCCCCAACTATTCATTATTACACATGCCTCATCTACAAAAGTGGATTAATTAGATAAAGGGGTTTTAGAGATAAAGAGATTACATTCTGAATTATTTAATCACACAAACTATGAGAAGTGTTCTACCTTTCAGCTGTGAAAAGTAGAAGAGGTAGGCTGGATTAAAGCAGGAGATTGTTAAAAATGTGGACACAATACACTGTTACTTTGATTGGTTGAATTTTATCTTATGATGGTAACAGGATTTACTGCTGGTTGGCGGAATTGTTCTGAATTATCATTGAAAAATGCCAGAAAATGAATAAAAGTAAA